GGCAGATGACTTTGCTGAACAAGAGAAGGGTGCAGGAGAAGAAGGTGCATTAGCTGATGTGGTCTCTGGTGTCTGACAGGTTTGAGTACTTTCTATAAGGACTTGGAGATGGATGGCAAACAATATGTTGGAGTTGGAAGACATGTTCAGCAGAATTTTATAAAAGATTTTTGTCACCTGCATCCAAACTGAAAACCAGTCATAGCCCTGGAACTTTAGAGCTGGCTAGATTCTCATCTTGGGCATATTTCCAGTGTCAAAGCTGACACAGAAACAGCAGAACTTTGAGCCTTGGGGTGAGGCTCTCTTGAGAACCTTGAACTCTCAGATTCAAGCAGGCCTCTTTGACTTGATGGAAGATACAGGTTCTACTTGGGTCTGTGGGTCAAAGCTTATCTTGATGACGTGTGAGGGAAAAGGGACTGTAAGGGTTTTCTCACAGTGGGAGGGTTATGCCTAGGTTTAGGGAGAATCAGAATATAAAAGTGTGGATAGGATAATTTAACTAGACAGAGGAACATCTTCCACGGCAAAGTGTTTCTTACTATGGTCAGAGTTCTGGGAGCCAATTCTAACATATTACGGGGATGGTTCTTTAAATCTGGCAAATGCCAACGGCCACATTAATAGAGATGCCGGAACCCTCATGGTACAACATGGACGTAGGAATGAAAAACCTTATAGAAGCTTCAAAAAACATCAGCCAACGGACTAGAAAACTTTCCGGCTCGCTGTGTCCCTCAGAAAGGGCCTGGATGACGCTGCTTACTAAGGTGATGAGAGATGCTTCTGCCTGGGAGTAACAACATCATGGAGAAGCTCTGAGGCATTCGTCTTCTAAGAGCAGGACCGGGCTAATGGGAAAGATGTTATAAAATAGGAACCTTTAGTAGCATTGGGGGAATGACAGATGCCAGAATAGCAGAGACATCTGTGAGAAGCAGCGGCCATCTAATTACCATAATGGATAGCAAGGTCTAAGTGGCAGCCAGGGGTCGTGACCTGACCTTATGAAGATGGCTGATGGAACATAACATTTTTTTTTTTTTTTTAGGAAGGAGCTATGCGGGCAGACAATAAGGGTACTGTATAATATATAGTCTCAGTTGATCAGGAATAAGTAGAAGGGTGGAGTCAGACATCACTCCAATGGAGAATTATAATCTGTTACCCAATTTCAAGGCCTGAGCCTATTCTTCGACAGACTGCAAGGACTGAAGAAGAAACTGCTATACACGAGGACCCAGCACACACGTTTCTTAGGTTTTTCTCCAAAGTGTCTTACAAACATCATTATTTTTTTTGGTCTGTTTTTGTTTTAAATAACCACAGACTGGGGGAAGAGAAGTCCTCTAATTCTTTCTTTTTGAGAAAAGTTGGTTAATGGATCTAAGTTGGGACTATCTAGGAGTCCTAAGTATCCTTTCTTATTTCAATACCCTCCCTTATCCGCCATTAGAATGGGACACTACTGAATTTTGATAATAAAGAGAGTCCTCACCCAGGTCTGTCTTAGTGGGTCTCCTGGATCCTGCCACCACCCTAGAGGCCACTTCTCCACTTCCTGAGTGTGTCATTGGTGTGGATATACTGAGATGTTGATCAACGTCTCACACTGGTGCTCAGTCTGAAGAGTAACATCGACTGAAGCAGAAAAGGCTAAGCAAGCACCCTCAGAACTCCCCCTGACTCTCCCCTAGCAACAAAGACAGTAAACAAAACCAGTTTTACGTCCAGGGGAAGATAACATTCCAATGGGACAGACTTGTGCAGTTTTGCTCCAAGGCTGGGCTCGTTTTCCTGTTTTCTGTATGATGGTTTTTAGAGGGGGAAAAAAAAGCACGAAACACGACAGAATCCACTAACAAGAGTTTTATTGAGGGAGAAAGGACAGGTGTGATCAGGCCTGCTGAAAGGACACGTGAGGAAAGAAGGGGGGGCACATGAGGCCTGCTTTTTAAGGACCACCCTGAGCATGCGCACACAGGCCCACGTGGCTACTCCCCACATACGCATAGGTCACACAGCTCGCGATTTATGTGACAACGCAGTGCATGGGTTATGTAGGACATAGGACATATGACCCAGAAATGACTAGGTGGAAATGACTAAGTGTCCCGCCAGGGCACGTGCGATCATGGGGGTGTGGCTGGAATTCCTGTCACTGTCCTAATATATTCCCAAAGGACCCAGACCACCTGGCATCAAATTGGTCTACCATACTGAAACATCATGCCAGTCAGGTCTGATGCACCTAAAACTCAAGTACTTTGGATGCCCTGATGAGACACATGCATGCTAGAGGTTGGATAAAGCTCACAGAAATTCAAGTGTGGGTTACATGGATGAAATTTTTAAATAGCAATTGTTATTCTTTAAATAAATAATTTTAGACTTCAGAGAGATGGAAAAAGAGGATAGAGATTTTCCTCATGTCCTTCCTCTGTTAACATCTTGTGTAAGCCTAGAACAGGTAGCAAAACAAAGACAATGGTGTGGTGTGGTGATACGCACCTTAGTTATTCAGGAATCCGAAGGAGGGCTGTATGATCAATGTCAACCTGTTACTTGGTGAGCTGAAGGCCAGCTTGGGTTACTTAGTGAGAGCCCGTCTCTCAATAATGGATGTATAATTCAGCTTCCTTAAAATATCCAAGGTCAAGCTGGACACACTTGGGAGACAGAGGCAGACAGAGCTATGTGAGTTCAAGTCTAGCCTGGTCTACAGATTGAGTTCCAAGACAGACAGAACTACACAGAGAAGCCTTGTCTTGAAAACAACAACAACAAAAACAACCGCCCCCCCAAACAACAACAACAACAACAAAAGACTATGCAAGGTCCTGGACTCAATCTTGAGCACCGGGCAAACAATAAAACAAAGAAAACAATCTTCACACTGTGCTATTATCTAGCTCATAGACCTCATTTGGGTGGTGAAGAGGTCCAATGGTCTTGGTCCTGTTAAGACGTTTTCTCCCAAATGAAGAATGAGTTACTGCAGCTTGCACCTTTTACTGCCAAGAAAAGAAGGATAAGACTTGGATGATGTTTTCACGTTTAAGAATCAGCATGCTTTGAGCTCTCCATTAGCAGTTCATGTGGAGAGCAGCTACTTCTGAATAGGGGTCAGAAGAAGAAAGGGCTCAACCGGATGTCTTGACTGGTACATCAGTTCTGTCTCTCCAGCCACATTACCCTTGTAACGCACAAGAGGACTCTCCAGTAGAGGAAGGGCCATGTCCAGTCTCCTCAAGTCCTCAAAGAAGTCACAGTACATCCCTGAGGGTTCTGGGGGATCACCATGTTCACTCTAAAACAATGACAAGCCCTAAAAAACTAAGAATGTCCACAACTCCAATTTTAGAGAAAAAAATGAGGTCCATCCAACCTCATAGGGATAACTGTATTTTTGTGTATTCCTTTGTTTTATTTTTCTTTTTCAAATACAATTTTGGCACATCTCAAATACTTAAATACTGAACAAAAGTAAAGGAGATGTAATGCTGATTCTGTGCAGGAAAGTACCTAGCACTCCTTTCTAAGAATTGAGAATTTTGTGGGGAAATGGTAGCCATACCTTTAAAATCCTAGCACTAGGAAGGCAGAGGCAGGCGAATCTGAGTTTGAGGCCAGCCTGGTCTACAGAGCGAGTTCTAGGACAGCCAGGGCTATACGAACAGACCTTGTCTAGAAAAAACAAACAGGGTTTCTCTGTGTAGCTTTGCCCCTTTCCTGGATCTCGCTCCCTAGACCAGGCTGGCCTCGAACTCACAAAGATCCGCCTGCCTCTGCCTCCCGAGTGCTGGGATTAACGGCGTGCGTACAGAGAAACTCTGTCTTGAATAAACCAAAAAAAAAACAAAAACAAAAAAACAAAAAAACCAAAAAAAAACCCAAACCAAAACAAAAAAACACAAACAAACAAACAAACAGAACCAAAACAACAACAATCAGAGTCTTGTTGAGGCAATCCTCTTGGCTCTGCTACAGGGAGGGCTGAGGTTACATGCATGCACTGCCACACAAGGCTACCCTGTACTAAAAAAAATTCGTTTCTCCCTGTTCCATGTTAAACAAACAAATTAAAGTATAAACATACGAAAGTGGCTGTTGAGGGTTCTGTGGACTATGCGTGGATGTTTATTATGTTTAAAGATTTTGCCAGCAGAAAGGCATTGTTCAGGGGAAGTGCAGAGAGGTTAAATTAACCACAATCGCTACCATCCATCTAGTAGGTTTGGGGTCAGATCCACGGCAGTAGAAAGGCAAGGAGACCTTGCAAGAAGAGTATGCTACAAAAAAAAAAAAAAAAAAAAAAAAAATGTGTGTGTGTGTGTGTGTGTGTATAAATTGAGAGCTGAGCAAACACGGTTGAATCAGCAACAGCTGAAGACCTTCCAAGAATACTATGCTCCAAAAAAAAAGGTGAACGGTCGGGGGTGGGGGGTGTAAATTGAGAGCTGAGCAAACACGGTTGAATTAGCAACAGTTGTGCGCCAGAAACTGTGGATTTGTTCTTTGATTTGGGGCAAGGAAACAAGGCTTGTAAATTAGTGCCTCGAATGTGTTCTCCATTAGGCAACCTCAGAGGTCGAAGGTGCCTTTAGTTTTACGCCATCAGGACCCGGGGTTCTAGAACTGGCTGGATGCTAATTTGCTCTTTGACTTGGGGCGTAAAAAGCAGGCTTGCAAATGAGTGCTCGAGATTTGATATGCCTTATGCAGCAACTGGGTTCCCGGGAACAGAGAGAGAGATCTTCACTGAGTTCCGATCCTGGTTTCCCGCCGCTCTTACCCCCCCACTTGCTTTCTCAGCCAGCCACCAGCAGCAGGCCAGACCGAGATCTGGGCACGGCCCCTTTAAAGGAGCCCAGACGACGACGACGTCGGGATCTCACCGGGCTGCGGAGCAGGGGCGGGGCGCTCCGCACAAGGGCTTTTACGTAGCCGGGGACGCCGCTGCGTCACAGCGCCCGCAGCCAATCAGGGTGGAGCCTGGCGGGACGCATTACTAAGGCGACGGGCTGGACGCCTCCCCGCTCCGGGATGAATTAGCGGCGGGTTCTGCTAGCAGGTTGTGACCCCCCGTGGAGTCGCAGTCTCTCTCTCCAGTGTCCCCGCAACGTCGCGCGGTTCCCCCCGGCGTGGCCCAGGTGCGCGGCCCGCGGTGTCAGGTGCGGGTTTCGGCGCGGGGGAACATGGCGGCGGCCCGGGGATATCCCCGAGTGGGCGGAGGGGGAGCTGCGGCGTGGGCCGCTTTTCCCCTGAACGCACGCTTCCTCCGGTGGGCCCGGGGGGACGGTCACTCGTGGGAGTTGGGCGGAGGGTTAGGGCGAGCGACTCCAGACAGGCGGAGGCCTCTGGAGCCGAGCGGGCTGCTGGACGAGGGGCGCCCGGTGCCCCGTCTGGGCTCGCGGACAGGCACCTTTCTGTCCACATCACACCTTGGCGGACCCCGGGAGCTGCTGGGTCCCCAGACACCACCTGAGGTGTGCTAGGGGCCAGGCCCCGGATGCACAAGGCTCCTCTGGGGCCGCCACGTGGGAAACACACAATAAAGCTATCCAGGGCTCAGGCTGCCTCTTTGCTGCGAGTGCTAGAGGTGTGCACTAGGTCTAGGTGGCAGTTCCACAGAAGGAATGGTAGGCAGACGTCGAGTCGGGTTTTTTTCGGTCCGCTTTTTGAGGCATGCTCTTGCTAAGGGCTAGTCTTCCCACTCACGGTCCTTCTTCCCTCTGCCCTTGTATTGGTGCGATAATAGGCGTGCTTTACCACGCCCACCTGCCAGGTTTAGTCTTTCCGGTTGTATCTCAACATCTAAGATTATATTTGGCCAGAAGCAATAAAGAAATACGGTGCTTGCTTGTGGTTGTGGAGCTGTTTAGTTTTCTTGTCCTTTCCTGAAGGATTAGTTGCCTTTAAAGTTAACTTACTGTATTCAGTGTGCTTTGAATGGATGTAGTTTTGCAGTTCAGTTTAAGTCCAGGAAAAGTATTGAAGACATGTTGGCGAAGGGATTACCAAAGATAAATGCTTCCCATTCACGTCCTTCACGTATTTCGGCAGAGAAACATCTTGTCATAAAAAGTTTAAATACTTAGGCTACTTACTTAAGCCGGGTAGTGGTGGCTCACGCCTTTAATCCCAGCACTCGGGAGGCGGAGGCAGGTGGATTTCTGCGTTCAAGGCCAGCCTGGTCTACAGAGTGAGATCCAGGACAGATTCCAAAGCTACACAGAGAAAACCTGTCTCGAAAACAAACAAACAAACAAACAAACAAACCAATAGTTGGGCTACTTAAAAAACTGCTGTTTTAATGAAAGACTTTGCAAAATTTGTGTATTTAAAAATATTATTTTTGTCTATTTGAGGCTGCATGAGTTTATATGCATCATGCAATGTGGAAACCTCCTGAAGCTGGATTATGGATGTTTTTGAGTCACCTAATGTGGGTGTTGGGAACCCAACCCTGGTCCCCTAAAAGAACAAGAAGTGCTCTTAACCGCTGAGCTATAGCTTCAGCCCTTAAACTTGTGTATTTTGGGATTAGTAAAAGAATTGAAAACTCTTGCTTAGCTTCAGTCATCAATAGCTACTGTTTCAGGAGTGCCCAGTGTACATCTGGCACTGTGATTTTTCACATGGCTTCTTTCTTTAAGATGAACAAATGTTGGGGATCCCTCTTTTCCCACGAGGTCGAAAGGCTAGCTACTGCAGATGTCAGGAGGGGGACTCTTCGAAACTGAATCTGGGGACTTAGGGTCAGTTTGGCCTGTGGTTGAGGTTATATGTAGTGATAACTAGGTTGCTTCTTAAGATATGGTGGTTCGGTAACTTCTGTGGGTGTTTTGTCTCTGAAGGGAGAAGACAGTTCTTGGCCAGTCTTCCTTGAGGTTTTATAAGGGGAGGGGAGCCAGTGCATATAAAAGACTTAAAAGCAGTAGTGAAAATTGACATTTATTAATAGACGCTACTCAGCCTGGCTGTGTGTCCAGGGCCTTCTAAGTGTCAATTCAACCACTCAACACCAGTGTAAAAGTGGTTACTTTAACAGGTGAGGGAACTGGAGCACACTGAAGTTTAAGTCATTTGTCCTAAACCATTCAGCTAGCATTGTGAGTCCAGCGTGTGCCCCACCCCACCCCCACCCTGTCTGCCCCTTTATCTCTCTTTCTCGTACTGGGGATTGGATGCAGGGCTTGCACATGCTAAGCAAAGTGCTCCATCACTGATCTATCCCCAGCCCCTTTTCTTCTTGAGACTGAGTCCCACTGAATTGCCGAGATTAGCTTTGAACTCATTCTGTAGCCCAGGGTGGTCTTGAACTTGTGATCTTCTTCCTGCTTCAGCCCTCTGAATAGCTGAAAGTACAGTCCTGCACCACAAGGCCTGGCCCCTGTGTTCTTCCATCCCTTCACTGTGTGCATACTGGTGTCTCATGTGCTAAGGGGATATGTGAGCTGAGTTTTCAAGGTCTTTTTGTTGTATAAAGAATTATGATTCATTTTTTTTGACATCCTTTGTAATTTGTGTGGCAGTGGCTACAATTACGTTGCTTAAGTAGTATATTCATTTTACTTTTTTTGTTTGTTCGTGGTTTTTTTTTTTTTTTTTTTTTTTTTTTTGACAAGGTTTCTTTGTGTAATAGCCCTGACTGTCCTGGAACTCGCTTTGGAGACCAGGTTGGCCTCAAACTCACAGAGATCTGCCTGCCTCTGCTTCCCAAGTGCGGGTGTTGGCAATAAAGGCATGTGCACCACCCCCCCCACCCCCCTCAACCCCTCCCCCCCAACCCCCCGCCACCACCCCAGTTTACTTTGTTTTTAAGACGTCAATGGCATCTGTGAGACAGGCTGGTCGGGAACTTGGATCTGTAATCCTTGCTGGCTTTGAACCCAGGCAGTCCTAGACACTCAGCCTCCCGAGAGTTAGGACTCTAAGAATGAGCTATCCTGGCCAGCTTTGACGTCCAATATTCTTAAAAACTTTTAAAAACAGAATTGTAACTAATACCTACCAGGAAACACAAATCAGTAATTTTAGTTTTTTTTTTTTTTTTTTTTTTTTTTTTTTTTTTTTTTTTTTTTTTTTTTTGGTTTTTCGAGACAGGGTTTCTCTGTGTAGCTTTGCGCCTCTCCTGGAACTCACTTGGTAGCCCAGGCTGGCCTCGAACTCACAGAGATCCGCCTGCCTCTGCCTCCCGAGTGCTGGGATTAAAGGCGTGCGCCACCACCGCCCGGCAGTAATTTTAGTTTTTACTCAAGTCTTTTGTATTTGTGTTGGTGTATGCATGTGTGTGTGGGGGCATGCACGTGTCCATGTAAAGACTTTGAGGAAAGGGTCTCTCACTGAACCTGACGCTCATTGACTGACTAGATTGGCCTTTTTTTTTTTGGCCATCAAGCCCCTGACGTCCTCCTATTTCTGCCTCCTGGTGCTTGGATTACATACATCCACATGCTGCTAAACCTGGGGTTTTACTTGGGTGCTGGGGCTCTGAACTCAGGTCCTCATGCCTGTGTGGCAAGTACTTTACCCACTGAGCCATCTGCCCAACCCCGGTTAAATTCTTTGAGAGAATAATTTGATGGATGAATTTAAAAACAAACTGGTTTTAGTACAGTTAATTGCCAAGCTATGCTAATAAGTTTCCTAGACTTTTGTTTCTTTTGTTTTCTTTTTTCTTTTTTTTTTAATTTTTTTTTTTTTTTGGTTTTTCGAGACAGGGTTTCTCTGTGTAGCTTTGCGCCTTTCCTGGAACTCGCTTTGGAGACCAGGCTGGCCTCGAACTCACAGAGATCCGCCTGGCTCTGCCTCCCGAGTGCTGGGATTAAAGGCGTGCGCCACCACCGCCCGGCCTCTTTTTTCTTTTTTGAGACAGGGTTTCTCTGTGTAGCCCTGGCTGTCTTGGAACACTCTCTGTAGACCAGGCTGGCCTCGAACTCACAGCGATCTGCCTGCCTCTGCCTCCTGCCTCTGTCTTTTTTTTTCTCAGTCTTTATAGAAAAAAAATGACATAAATAGGAGTGGCCGTGACTTTCATTGTTTCCTCAACTCTTCCTGGAGTCTTTCTACCTCCTTGGAATGTAAAATTAATTGCTCATCTAATCCCTGAGTTCAAGGAGGGGCCCAAGTCCAATCTGAAGACGAGGGGAAGGATAGATGATTAACTTATGGTGTGCTAAGCACTCAGCTGTAACAGCGTGGGTACAGAGAACTGTGGGAACATGGGCTGGCACGGACCTAGCCAAGCAGACGTGAGGGAGACCGGCTTCTGGGTGGGAGGAACTCAGTCAAGGCAGAGAGAGTGTATCCCTTCAGGGAGAGGAACAGGGAAAGTTAGGTCCAGGCTGTGAATTCGCAGCCAAGATTGACCTTATGCTGCTGGCAGTAAGGATTTCCTAAGGACATTAAGTTTAGAGCTAAACTAGGGTTGTTCTTTTCTGTCAGCTGGCCAACTGGAGTTTCCTGGGAAGAGGAACCTCAGTTGAGAAAATCCCTCCATCAGATGGCCTGTAGGCAAGTCTGTAGGTTACACTCTTAATTAATGATTGATATGGAAGGGCCCAGCCTACTTGGGGGTGGTGGTGTCCCTGGGCAGCTGGTCCTGAGTTGGATAAGAACGTGGGCTGAGCAAGTCATGGGAAGCAAGCCAGTAAGCAGCATTTCTCCTTGGCCTCTGCTTCAGTTCTCCTTGGCCTCTAGGTTCCTGCCTTGAGTTCCTGCCCTGACTTTGCTCAGTGACGTCCTGTGGTGGAGAGTTGTAAGTTGAAGTGAACCCTTTCTTCCCTGATTGGTTTTGGTCATGGTGTTTTATGGCAGCCCTAGAAATCCTACCTAAGACATAGAGTAATATGATCAACTTTCTGTTCTGCTGATTTGTTTATTTATTGGGCTTTATTTTTCTGTAGCTCAGGCTGGCCTGGAACTTGCTATGTAGCTGGTTTCAAACACAAGGTTATCCTCCTGCCTCAGCACTTATTAAGTGCTGAGGTTACAGGCGAATATACGGTATGGCACCTAGTTATGTTCTGGAGAGGTGTCTAGTAACAGAATGTAAAGAAGACACCAGTTAAGGACCGTTTCATAATCCAGGTTTGGGGTATAGACTGGACATGAGCCGAGGCAGAGCTGAGTTTAGATTCCTTATGTTTCCAATCAGAGTAGAATGTAA